GTGTAGATGCTATCGCTAGCTTCTTCATACGATTTTATTGGCTTGGCCTGGTAGAAGAAGCTACAAATCTTACCTCATCCCCGCACAAAGTTGACGGGCGAAGAGGCCAGGGTGCCGAGCTTATCCCTCTTGCGGCGACCAGAAGCGGTTTAGAGCTATTACGTAGAGAACGAAACTCCGGGGAAACTCGTCACGCACGCGCCTAGCGAACGCAAAAAAACGAAACTGCGCTCGCGGCCTCCAAGCAAAAGCTCAAAAGAACCAGGGAAGTGCGAGCTCCCAATGTCACTTAACACATTTGTCACTTGAACCGAATTGTGATTTGCAGTTACGCGCTTTTTACGTTGCTTACTCAATGAAGGAAGCGCAGTTAAATTCCAGTTTACTTGAAAATTCACTCCTGTGATTTCTAGGTCGGTTGAAATGATCAGGGGATTTTTTGTTGGCACTTTATTTTCAAGAAGTACTTTCAGGAAAACTTATGATTCGAGTAATTTCTTTATCTTAAACTCCATATTTTCAATAGTGCAGTATTGTAAAGCTTCTTGGTGCTTCTTGTTGAAACGAAGAAAGAGAGTGGACAACAACAAATTGCTTGACAAATGTCTTCGAAATTAGTCCAGAGAAAGCAAATGCTTAAATTCAAGTTGCTGACAGCGCACTATGGTTTACCCCAAGCAGAAATCTTTGCCGAGTTTGTAAGCGTCATGAAACTTGGTAGAAAAGTTTGGTGTCGCTAGAGACCACATGGTCGCCTTATTTAACGAGAGGTGAGCAAGCAAGCAAACGAGGCGCTGCACGATATCTTAAAGCGGAAAGACCAAGCAAGGCTTTCTGCAGACGCCCAGCCAATTTCTCCAACAGGCCTATACAACAAAAACATTCCTAAAGACCAGAAAACAAAAAGCCTTAGAAGCACCCTAAAGACCTGGGCAAAAAACGCACGTTTCCAGAGTAGGTGCGTCGGCAAAAACTGGACCAGCGGAAGCCTGCTCGAACATGTGTACGGATGCGGCACCGACACCTAAAAACCTGATCACAGACCGCCACAAGAAATGCTTCCATTCAAAACTTCCGCGGCGATATCAAATGAGTCTCAACTTCAGCCTCTTTTACTTCTCAATAACTCCGATGCAAAGGCTCTATGTGATTTCGTTCAATGAGTGAACGAATTTATTTAATATTTTCTTGGTCTATCGAAGCTCACAATTTCTGTTTCGTTTACTGTTAATTATTAACTGAGATTGCATCATTCTCATCGCTGTGCTAATCTTTCAAAAAATTGATCAATTACCACTGCTCAATTATCGCTGATCAATTATGAAAGATTTGTGAATTTTCTTTCAAAATATATCATATTTTCTCATATTATATTAGTTAAAATACGCGAAAATAATTGACTGAAAATTTACAAGATTTCCATAAAAACGAATGTGAAGCAGCGCCGATAAAAAAATTCCTTGCCAATGATATAATCTATGAATGCATTTAGAAGATTGCTTCTAATTGTCCATTTAATTAACAAACACGTGTCGGTTTATGTTTGAAATACAAAATTCGCTGTAAAATAAAATTAATTCCTTTGAATGTTTCCCGGTTTTCCAGAAAAGACGATGTCACTGTAAATAAAATTAAGACTTTTTCATAAGAAACTTGTAATTTCTGATCAGTGATCAGAAGACTTTTCGGTAAAAAGTCTTCTGATCTCTGTCGATACTTTAATATTGCAATCTCATTTAAATAACCTAAACCTGTACAATAATTTTGTACAAATGAATCGCATGAGGGATTTGCAGAATACTGCTTCAGTAATGTTCTTGTCGGTACAGTTTGATCTGTTGCAAATTAACTATTATGTTCCCAGAATATTAAATGTGATAAAATAATGTATTAACATATATAGTGATAGTTACATTTTCATAAATGTTCCGCTTATTCATATCAGGATGGGTATTTTATAAATACAAATTGATCTTGTAACTGAATGGAACTGACTTTTCTAGAAGCTGCAATTTTTCCTTCTAAAAGCGGAATAAATGAGAAAAAATATAAAATTTTTGCAATCGTATTCTTGCGCACTCTCTAATGATGTTAGTTCTACTTTAAATCGCGTAAGTATGAGATCGCACTGCAGTTCTTTAATAACAATATTGTCTTATGATATATATATAGAGCGTCTCATATATTGTACGTATCTCTGCTCCACATTATGTGTATCTGGACAGTTCGAACTTCTATTTGCAGGTATTTAAAATAAAACTCTGTAGTAGTAAAATGCACAGACCTGCGTCCATGTGCATTGTACAGTGCATTAAAACATCTCAGTGATGCGTCTGCGGACTAAAAGGGTCTGATGCTTACATGCGTTCTCTAGGGTCTGATGCTTACATGCGTTCTCTAGGGTCTGATTCTTACATGCGGATCCCGTTAATTATCTTATTTACCGCAGTGTTCGGTATCTGCTGGTATTTCATCTGGAGTTTTCTCCAATAATTCAATAAAGTGAGTGGAATAAGGCTCATGATGTGAACTTTAACATGACAATAACTAATAACATTACGCTGTTATGTGTACCGTATTCTTCACCGCAGCAAAAATGTGTGAGCTTGAATGTTGGGACTTGAAGCTGCAAGTAAATGATTAAGATTGCTTTCTAAACTAGACTTTAATGAACATCTTGCGAGGTTTTGCGTACAAAGCCCAGAGATATCGACAATTAATAATTTGAAATGCCGAAGATCCCTGCAAGAAAAAAGTTATTTTTATCTTCTTCATTAAACTGTCATAATTGTTACATTTCTGTACTGAAAATCGTATTTATCTTTCATAATACCAGTGGAAAAAATGAACAAAAACGTATAAAGCACGCATCGCACGTCCTATCTTCAAGAGAACTTTTTCAGGCCGAGTGCTGCATTGCTGAAGAGCTGCGCTCTATTGGCACTCCTTGCCAATCAGAAGACTGCTGTTCTGTAGCCACTCGTCCCTAAATTCTTTTATGCAAATTTGTCGCCTTACCTCTTATCTGCGGAATATGACGAGTGCTCCGGCGCGCCAAAGAAAAGTTGGAACGGCGTCACTGAAACTACTGGACTGCCGCCTCTGTTCTAGGCTCCGTGCAACTGCATTTCATTGCATACCTGATTGCCTTCAAATAAAACTTAGCATTCTTTCTCGTCACGATCGTCGTAGCAGTAAACTTGCACATTACTTCCAAGTAAATAATGGTAATCTTTTTATGTTGCAGAAAATATTGCCTCAATAAAATTAAAGGGAAATTCCGGGGATTCCTGAAGAAAATTTTCAATTATTTTTGCCAATTGATACATTCGATAGCTAAGAATCTCAAACTACCTTTTTGATATACATTATGAACGTATGCATTAAAAAATCAGTCATGTATACATTTTCCTCAAATCTATCTATTTATTTCAATAGTTGGGCCATGCGCCACCAATGTTATTATTGATATTTTAGTTATTTACATGTTTTGTTCATGAAATTTTATCCTAATCCTTTTTTTTAATCATCGATGAATAATTAAAACATATCTTATGCTCTTTAGACAAATCTTAATTACTGATTCTGGTCATTAAGAGGTTCATTATTTACGTATTAACTTACTTATTATTATTTACGTATTATTTACTTACGTATTATTATTATTATTATTTACGTATTATTATTTTTATTTACGTATTATTATTTACACTACTACTATAATGAATTGTTTCCTTAAACATAAAATAATTCAGAGAAACCTCTTGTGTTATCTATCGAATATTCTGTCATTTTGTTTCAACTTTTTAGTTCCAACGACATTTTGCAAGGAACTAAACAAGAGAGTGCGTAGAATGTCCTGCGCACTGGAATCAAAGCTGAGAGCATAAGCTTAGCATTGCTAAGAACGACCCACAATCCGCTTACCGGAGCGTCCACTTCTTCCCAGTCTGGTTAAAGTCTTTCACCCTGCGCTCTCCAAGTCACTGAACTATTCAGTTCTTTCCGGTCTGGTCTAAAAGTCTTACATTGTATGCTCCAAGTCACTATGACAGTAAATTCTTCCCAGTCTGGTTAAAGTCTTTCACCCTGCGCTCTCCAAGTCACTAAACTATTCAGTTCTTTCCGGTCTGGTCTAAAGTCTTACATTGTATGCTCCAAGTCACTACGACAGTAAATTCTTCCCAGTCTGGTTAAAGTCTTTCACCCTGCGCTCTCCAAGTCACTAAACTATTCAGTTCTTTCCGGTCTAGTCTAAAAGTCTTACATTGTATGCTCCAAGTCATGAAGACAGTAAATTCTTCCCAGTCTGGTCTAAAATTCTTTCACTTTGTTCTCCAAGTCAATGCTCCATCTCGACAAATATTTAGTTCATTGTAGTATGTCCGAAAGTCTCTCACTTTTGGCTCCAGGTCAGTAAACTATTTATTTCATTCCAGTCTATCCGAAAGTCAGTCTGTGCTCCAAGTCAGTCTGTGCTCCAAGTCAGTAAACTGTACACTTTCCAGCCTGGTCAAAAATTCTCTCCCTCCGTGCTTTAAGTCTGTAAACTAAATACTGTTGCCTGTTAAATAATTCTAACAGCAGGAGTAGGATGAAGTCCCTCAGTGAGCTGCCTTCAAAGTAGGATTATGATGGCGCCTAAGATGAGATCTATACGTTGTTCGAGACACGCAAGCAATGGCCAAACATTTCGAAATAAAAACTGGAAATTTATCAACAAAATATATTTGGTTTTGGATTCTCGAATTCATATAATATTCTTTGATTCTATAGCTAAATTAGATATATGTGCAACAGAAGATCCCATTATATGCCGCCGTCTAGTGTCCGGACGATGTCGTTATGTTAATTTTCCGTTCACTGACATGTACTGGTAATTCACAAATAATTGAAAATCATATTCAAATTGTATTAATTTGTGTAGCTGTTTTAAAGTTTCACAATTTGCATATTTAAAATTGTTATCCTGAAACTAATGTATAATTTTTCCTTTCCAGAACACTATCACATTTTCGTGGGAGATTTGAGTCCTGAGATTGAGACGTTTTCCCTAAGAGAAGCCTTCGCCCCCTTCGGAGAAATTTCGTAAGTACACAAATTTTTTGTTTTTTCTACTTCTAATGAAATTTTTGTCCCTGTACATGGGTGTTAATCTTTTTTTATTATTATTTCATCCCTAAATATTGCGAAATTACGTATCGCGTTTGTGGTTTACTTCCTCTTGAAAGATCTTCGTCAAGTTACGAACTAATTTTTTCCATTGTTACTCTTTAACTATAATTAAATCACGTGACTGATGATTTGATTAAATCATGTGATTTGAGATGTCAACATTTAGTTAGGTTTCATCGTCGGAATTAGAATTTATATATAAGCATTAATATTCATAGAGTTTGAATTTACTTACCAAATACAAATTGAATATAGAAATCACTATAGCCAAGTAATATTTCCGTGGAATGTTTGCCTTCATGAATATATACGCTACCGGTCGCAATCCTCCGACGCTGTTATTGGTCGCATTTCTCGAGTTCGTACGGCAACTGCACGCGTTTCAACCAACACATATGGATCTCTTAAATAAAATCTGTGGGCCAAATATTCTGCCAATATTTTCGATCAAAAAAACACGGATGCTAATGAAAAAAAATTAGAGCTTATGGGTATTTTTATTAGGAATTTTTATCGAGGATATTACTAGATGCAGCATCATAATTTCGCTTTTTATTTAGTGAGCTTAGAATTAATGCCGTTCGTTTGTTTTTCTTAACCGCCACCGTCCTCTAAAAACGGAACTTGAGCAATATCCTCGGTTAGAGCTCATCCGCTTAACCAAACTTGGACGATTATGTTTCATCCTAAGTTCTGGTCATCTTGAAATGAATATTCTCAGGAGTTCGCTAATTTTTGTGAGAGCATTTTAATCTAAGAAATTCCTCATGGTTAGACCTGCTAAGTAGAGTTCATGAGAGTGGGGCTTTTGTAGCGCTACCTCTCCCTGGTAGAGGGGTTACTCTTAATAAAAGCGTCGTCTCATTTTCTTAGATAAAGTTTTTGGGCGCTAATTATTAGGAGCAGCTGTGGCATAGACCCTCTTCGTTTGAATTACCTTGGTTAACAGTTGAAAGTCCATTAGAGTGACTCGTTTCGTACGTTGCATTCGCTTAAGTTTCATGGGTCATGCGATCTCATTCCTCTTACGGATTGCAGGAATGTCCCGGACTCACTTAGTCATTCCCCAGCGTTGCAGTTGCAAGTTAGGACCGCAAACTAACCAAAACCTTGTAAACCAAGCCGCTGACAAAAGTTCCAACCGTCAGGACTGTTTGTTCTTCAGACCTACCCTCTTTCCGAAGCTGAGACGCCGCGCGTCCTCCTTCCCTTGACTTGATGCAAATGATCACTCCGAGGAAAGTTTCTCAAGCAGAAGTAGAAGACGAAGTTGTATCGACACGCGCCAAGTCGTACGTGGGTATGGGCCTTGCCTGTATAAAATATTGTTATTTTTTAGCTATTTTATCCGCACAGGAGCTTCGAAGCTTTGGAATAAATTTCATTACTGCGTAGTATGAGATAAGCTTCGGCAAATTAGCAGCGAAAATTTTATTTTGTTCATCAGTTATTCTTTTCACGGAAAATGAGTCAATATTTGTCATATAATTACATATTATGTTTGCTCATATGCAACTACAAGCTCGCAGCACGTTGAAGCGTCTTTATTTCTTGTATAATTTCTAACTATTCTTTACTGCAGACAAAAAGATTTCAGCCTCCGTCGTGTCCTCGAAAATAAAGTTTATTTTCCAAAATCTCAACAGCTTCATATTTTATTAAAAGCTTTTCCTTCATTTACATACAAGTGAATTTTTTCAATAAAAAAATTATTTTTTCATTGAATTTGAAACCTCCATTACAATTTTTTACTTAAATTCCATAAAAGCAAAAACACTTCTTCCTCGTTTGACTCGAGTTCACTTGTGCGCGTCGTGGTGCAGAGCAGGGCGGCGCCGGCACACGGCCGGCAATGTTGACTCTACGGCGGTGTTTGCACAGCATTGTGCGCTCCGGAGGGTGAAACATCAAAAGCAACGCGCGCGCATGTGATCAATCACGGACCGGATCATACGTCGCTATTGAATCATGCAATAGCTCTGTTCTCGCCTGCCTCCATTAACAGATATATGAAAGCTCTGAACATTAATGTTCAGCTTTATTTTAGTGGTGACGGTACTGAGGGCATGCACGTTAGGGCGCGGCCTACGGCGACCTAACACCTGTGCATTTGTCCTCTGCTTCATTTTGAACAAATTTTGTACCTTTGATTAGTTTATGGAGTGGTATTAATTATGATTTTTAGATGAGTTCTTTTCTTTGAATCATGTATGAAGTTGATGCTCATGCTATAGTCTTTCGGGGGTTATTTCAGAGAACAATTGAGGCTTGCTCAGTGGACATAATTTCTAATAGTACGTTCAATTGCAGCAATTGCGGACCTCAAGTCCCCGGCAATTCATTTGAAAGCCGCTAAAGGATTACTTGGTTAGCAAAGACTGACTGCAATCCCTTACAAATAGAGCCGGTAAAACGAATCCAGTCGATACTTTACTGACGATAAATCATGAGTCCATCTGGCGTATTGCATCATCAACACAGTCATTGCAGCAGGCGATTGCAATCTCGTCTGCTACACTTTTCACTGCAAGAGTCATGCACGAGGCGTTACGTTGCAGCTGCGTTCTGGCGGTGATCATGTCGAGCTGCTCTGTCAAGTTGCGTTTTTTGTCATCAAATGCATTGAAAAACGCTTCGTTTTGATTCGCTGATTTTTAGTTTGCCTGTGATCTGTATATAACTAAGTGAAGCGCGACAATATGTTTTTTGTGCTACAAGCATGACAAGAGAAAGGAAATCAAACCCTGTTTTCAAATGAACTACATCCATTTAAAACGAGTGTTCCACAATAAAATTCCCATAAGAGTTATTAACAATTCAACTAATTTCTTTTCGTGAATTTTTTCAATATTATCGAGTGAAAATGGCAACGTTAGTAATTGATAGATTTCTGGCGTAAAACTTGTTTTATATGCCCGTTGCATTTACTAATATTTTTCAAGGTTTTTCACCAGAAACAGGAATATTCTTCAACATAAACTACATAGAGAATGTCAAATTCCATGTACTTCCGGATGCATATTTTCTTGGTATTGATCAAGCGTGACCCGGCAAGTTCACACGAGTACTGTCATATTAATTCAATATATTCACGTTTCCCACCGCATCCATATTCAAACAGACGCACAAAACTAAACGCAAGAAATCTATCGATTTGTCGTTCATCCATGCAGACATTTTGCTGCAGCTCACTGCAGAATTTTGCTCGCAAGCGAGCACGGTGCCACCGAGAGCGCTCAGGGAAGAAAACATATCCGCTCAGGAAATTGTCACGTTGTTCTTAAAGGATTTGAGTGAGGGGAGAAGATCATCCCTTGTTCTCTAAACGGAAGACGGTGAGTCAAATATGAAACGATTACCTCATCTTTGGTGTTCGTTGTTTGTTGTCAAATGCAAATGCCGAGAATTGTGATTGAAAGGGAAGGATTAAGCTACGAGACGTGATCGCATTCACAACAGTGTAATAAAAAACTTGTCTCTAAGCTGTCTAAAGATTATATTGTTTTATTTTGTGAAATTTAATAGCGTCTTGGCAATATTTCATCCTTATACTATTTTTTCGTAGATTTCTGCTTATTTCATTACTCATGTCGATATCGAAATCTCATTTTAGAGATTATAGTTAAGTAAAATATTTGAAATTTGATTGAAAATATATTAAGTAAAAGAGTAAGTTTGCGCATTCGTAATTGTTTACATGACCTTCATAAAAAATTATTGTTCTGAATTCTAATTTGTATGTAGCTTTAGTTTAAGTTTAAACTGAAAACCCATTAAAACATGTCTGCTAGTTCAATTTCCCATTGGAACATTGTACATTTTTATTTCGCCGTTATAACGATCATGTTTATGGAGTCAAAATAATGGGATGATATAACTTATATAAGCTAATATTACTTATTACTTGATATACATTTAAATAAAAAAATACTGATAATAAGAATTGATACCAGAGTAACGCAGCAGTTTTAGGCGCTCAAGAGGACATTGAAGGATGCTCGGCTCTCGAGAGCCCCGCGCTATTGACCAAAACTTGTGAAGCTCCGCAAACAAAGAGAAGAAGAAGGCAGCATTTCTGTCACGTAGCGGTTTCTTGTGCGAGCAATAATCACACCTCCTAATTAAATTTCCCCCCTTAGTTTTTGCTGCTCGTGCTTCTTTAATGTCGCTCAAGACATGAAGGCCTTTGTTACGGACTGGATCTTCCAAGAAAATCTCATGAAATGATGTGCAATTCATGATAATTCAGAGACTATTTTTTTCTGCGTTCTGTTGGTTAGTGCTTTCGAATACATCTGTAACTCTGTGTTGAGTGACTTATTGTGTATGAAGAATTAAATGTTTCAAAACGCTCTTTTTTGTTTGAGATCGTTAAATTCATATCAACTCTCATTGCAATTTTTCTTATTGTAATCCGTCTGCACTAAGAGTAACGTGAACGACATTTCTGACATTTCCCCAACTGGCTGGGAAGTTATCGCTAAAATTATATGGGATTCTGTAGGTCTTAAGCTACGATTTGTTCGCTTATTGTTTAATAAGGGACATTTATAATTTCACTCTGCTTATTAATAGTTCAAAACACGGTACGAGAATAATCGTTTTACATTTGAAGAAATATTATCTGTTTGTCACATATTGAAATGATGAAAAATACTTTCTTTTGTCGAAGTCCTGATAAATGGAAGCTTTAAAGTTCCCTTGCTCCCTTGCCTATTTTGGAGTTATGACTATCTGGCTTGCTTTCATAATTAGGGTCTCATTATTTCGCTGCCTCGAGCCTGGGAGCTCCCTGTCCCTAATTCTTTCAGTCGTGATTTGAATTATCACATTTATATTAATTTGTATCTAATATGGATTTTATTTACAAGCGCATACAACAAAAAATTTAGTCCCAAATATTTTCAAGCTCG